AATTAATATTCAGTCAGTTAGCTTTCTGTCAAGTGCCCAATTGCAAAATGTTAGTGTCAGCTAACATTTTGCTAATAAGTCTAGTCTGAAGGCATATGTGGTCTAGTCTGAAGGCATATGCGCATATACTGTATACGGGTATTCAAAATAAAGAAAACTCTTTCTCGCTCTGTGGCAAGCTGTCAAGCCATTGAAAACAACAAAGACTTGTTAAGAAAAGGAAAAAACAATAGGTTAGCTCATACATACTAATCAGGCATAAGCGTATATACTGTATACTCATGTGTGCATGTATGCATACGTGTATACGCATATTGAGCTGACGCGAATTATGCGTATATTTTGGTTCAGATATATCTGAGCTGCACTGTAGCTGAGGACTGATGCAGTGGTCACAAATTGCTTGACTTCTTGAAATGCATTCTCCTGCTCCTCTGTTCAATTGAAGTTGGTGTCTTGTCGCATTAATTGACGTGTCGACTCCATGTGGTCCGCTAGTCTGGATAGGAACTTTGCCAAGTAGTTGACAAATTCGTTTAATCTCTGCACTCCCTCCACGTCTTCAGGACGTGGCATCTTGAGGACTGCTTTGGTTTTGTAAGGGTCAATCTCAAGGCCTTCTTTGCTGAAGACATGGCCCATAAATGGCACTTCTGTATTGTGCAACTGCAGCTTGTCCTTGTTGAGCGCAATTCCACGTGCTTTGCATCTTTGAAGTAGTGCTTCCAATTTCCGGTCGTGGTCAATAAGAGCTTCATCTTTGGTGTCTCTGACACTGTATACCAGGACATCGTCAGTAATGTTAAGTATTCCATCCAGTCCCTCTAGTGCTTGGCTAACTTGCTTCTGAGTGCTGGATGCTGACAAACCAAATGAAAGTCTTCTCCATCTATATCTTCTGAAGGGGGTTGCAAAGGTAGTGAGTAGACTCGATTCATGATCAAGGACACAATGCCAGTAACCTGCGGTCAGGTCAACAGTCAAGAATATCTTCACTCCTGCCAGGTCTGGCATTAAGTCATCTAGGATTGGCAGCTGGTGTGTTTCTCTCTTAAGGACTTGGTTTAACGGGTGTGGATCTATGCATATCCTTAGAGCACCAGACTTCTTGGTTGCAATGACAACACTGCTCACCCATGCTGTGGGCTCGTCCACTTTTGCTAGGACTCCTAGACTCCCCAGTCAGTGGAGTTGAACTTTAAACTTCTCTCTTAGGGCAGTCGGAACTCAGTGTGAGGGCATGATGGACGGTTCTGCATTTTCATCTATCTGTAGATGCACTGTACTGGGTAGGGTTCCAAGATCCTTCGAGAACATGTCTCCACGGCATTGGACTAGCTCGTCTACTGTTCCAATCTTTCTGATGTCTTCGCGCATCTGCCTCCGTGGGGGTGGAACTGCGACGAAATTATCCTGATGCACAGTTATCAGTTCCTTTTGTTGTGCTCTACATGCACCTATCAGGGGCATTAGATTGTCAGGGACAACAACAAATTCAATGGAGTACTTCTTGTGTGTCTTGGGATTTTTGACTTTCAGGCGGGTGGTTCCAAGAGGCTTCAAATTCGTTCCATTCCACATCTTAAGGGTTTTGTTTGACAGTGTTATGTGACTTCCGGTTGTGTGACACCGGTTAATGATGTTTATTGATGCTCCACAGTTGATTTAGAACTTTATCTTCTTTTCTTGACAATCATTTCAGTGTATATTTCTCTCGTGGGACCGGATGTTTCTTCGATCGCATGAACAGATGGTTCTGCAGTGATAACAGCAAGGAATTTGTAATCATGGCAGTCATCATGAGCATTGCTGCCGGGCTCTGTTTGCTCTGTGACTCCATGCACGCCACGAGTTTTTCCTTTTTGGCAAACCGAGGAGAAATTATTTCAGCCATTGCACTTTTGACAACGCTTTTGCAACGCAGGACATAGCTCCTTTTTCAAAGGGTGGTTTCTGCCGCAGAAGTGACAGGTTTTCTTTTTTGAGTGCTCGTTTCTTGAATTCCGACCATTCTTTGGTTTCCGCGGGGTTTTCTTCGTGTGCTTGTTTATTCGATTAACTTCATGGGTTGTGTCATTTGTACCTTCTGAAATACTTTTTAAGTGGGACGACNTCTTCGATCGCATGAACAGATGGTTCTGCAGTGATAACAGCAAGGAATTTGTAATCATGGCAGTCATCATGAGCATTGCTGCCGGGCTCTGTTTGCTCTGTGACTCCATGCACGCCATGAGTTTTTCCTTTTTGGCAAACCGAGGAGAAATTATTTCAGCCATTGCACTTTTGACAACCCTTTTGCCACGCAGGACATAGCTCCTTTTTCAAAGGGTGGTTTCTGCCGCAGAAGTGACAGGTTTTCTTTTTTGATTGCTCGTTTCTTGAATTCCGACCATTCTTTGGTTTCCGCGGGGTTTTCTTTGCGTGCTTGTTTATTCGATTAACTTCATGGGTGGTGTCATTTGTACCTTCTGAAATACTTTTTAAGTGGGACGACGTGGCTTCACTACTTCTACATAGATCAATACACTTCTTTAAATCTAGATTTCACTCTTGCAGCAGGCGTTTTCACAAATTGTTTTTAACACCAAGTACAATCCGATCTCTGAGTAAGCTATCCGCAAGGCATACACAGAATCCACATGGTTTAGCTAGGGATCTCAGAGCAGCAATGTATGCATCTATAGATTCATCTTGTCCCTGATTTTGTCTGTTAAAGACGTATCGTTCATATGTTTCGTTGACTTCTCCAATAGCAAACTCATCAAACTTCTCAACGATCTTTGATAAGGTCTTTTGCTCTGTCTCGTTGGGGAATTGCATTCCATTATAGATTTTTAGAGCTTCTGGCCCAAGGCAGTGCAGAAATAATGCTACTCAGTAGTCATCAGTTTGAGTGCTGAGGTTTCTGATTATGGAATAGTTGTTCCATACCTGCTTAAATTGTTTCCAGTCGTCTACCACGTTTCCTGTTGTATCTAGAGGTTTGGGAGGCGCTATCCCTTGAACGAGTGGAGTCGCTTGCACCGCTGTGCTTGGCTGGCTTGGAGCGCTAACTGACGCTCCTCCTGTTTCTGTATCAGACATCGGATGAAGACTCTATCGGGGTCTCTAGCAGGTTCTTAGGCTTCTTTATCCCACCAGTCTCTTCAGAGGCATGGGTTCAAATCCCACCACTGCCAGTGCCATGTTTCAATATAAATAGTGCAAGATAACTATAACAGTAGCCACAACTCTAGAGTGCTTTATTCAAATGAACCTTCAAGTGTAACACGATACAAGCCTATGATAGCGCTGATTGAATATAGATTGACATATTGGCATATTGTGACAAGTGGCATTTCGTGAAGGAGCTTGATCAGTTTCTTGTGTGACCATTTTGTGGTATTGAAACATATGTGAGTCAAGACTAAATTCCAAAACTAATGTGAGGAAAAAAAGTACTTTGTCTGCACGGTCTGCAGTCTCCACAAGGAATGAAAACATTTGGCTGCATCCAGCAGGATTACTCTTAAATTGTGCAAATGATAATGATGATGATTATGATGATGACCTAGAGAACCAGAAGTCTAGGAACTCTACTATGCCAAGACTTACTATAGTTCAAGATCAGACCAAGAGAAACAGGAAAAAACTAAACCCTTGAGCATAGACAAACTACAGTCCTTGGCAATCACAAATTTCATCATGTAAGCAAACCCGACTGCAAAGTCGCTCTTCATCCAGCATTAGCAGGAAGGAATACCACATGGTTCATTAACAGAAGTTTGGGAGGCGCGGTGGCCTCACGGTTAGTGTGCTCGTCTCCGGATCGAGCGGTCCGGGTTCGAGCCCTGGCCGGGGACATTGTGTTGTGTTCTTGGGCAAGACACTTTACTCTCACAGTGC